AAAACGCGCCTGATTTAAATGTCACACCTGAACGCTCACATCCTTTTAATTATGTTTGAAATTATGAACATTGCTCAACATCATGAAAATTAAACCTTATTTTCAATAAGCAATCCTGAAAAATATTTGGGGGTGCTTAACTTTTTTCCAGGTGTATATCTGGTCATGTTCCACTGTTAATACAGGAATGTCATAAGTGTAAATATAATACAAATATTCCCCCGTCAAGTATATTTGTTAATACAATAATACCTCCTATGACGTAAAGCTATTGATATATAAGATATTCTCCAGTCACATTTACTTGTTAATCTAATATATATATATATATATATATAAAGAAATATATAGTTAAAACTGCATAGGCGACAAAGATATCAAAATTAAAAAATAGATTAAAAAATCTCCAAGGTTTTGTTATATTTTCATTTAATTAAGGATAACATTTTGAGCCAGACAAAGAGCACTAGCTCAAATGTCATCCTTCTTGAAATAAAAATATAACAAATACTTGGCAATTCTTCAAACTATTCTTTAATTTTAATCTATATAAAAGCCAGTGTCTGTTCTTTGGCCACACTCCTTTTTTGGTAATGCTCAACAGTATACATTGTCCCTTTGTAACAAAACTATCACTGATGTTGTTAAGACCAACAATGGTGCTTATGTTGAATGCGTAGTACACATGTTGATTAAAGAGGTTTAACTATTACGAGATGTTAAAGTGTTTTTGTTTAATGATTATAGGATGTTATAGAGTGGTTTGTAAACTATTATGGGATATTGTGTGACCTGATATTGTTGTTATTCTATGTACTTAAAATGGACTTTGGTAAAACATTTAGTAAACAAAGTTTCCTCTGAAGCGTTTATTGACTAAAATCCACTCTTAAATATTTATTTACCAAAGACTATGCTGAAACATTTAGTGACAAAAGTTCACTCTGAGACATATAGCAACTAACCAACCCTCACTCTAAAAATGTTTTTAAAAGTTTCGAAAAGCTACAGACGTAACAAAAGTCACTTTTAATTTTTAAACAAAAATATGTTTAATAAGTTTTATTTTTGTCTTCAAAATATTTTCATGATCACAATCTGAGCTACATGGCCTATGCTAAGGGAGAAATAAATTACCAGATTGAAAAATACTTAAATACTCATGAAAATAAGATTATCATTGTAATGATTAACCATGCTATGAAATTTATATATATATATAAAGCACTACTAACTACTACATAATATAACAAAAATTATCCTTTTCTTTAAATTGCACACGTCCTTATTTGAAACAACAACAACAGTCAAATAACTTAAGATTGCATCATTTCTATACAAACAACTACCTTCAAAAACATCAGTCATTTTGCATATTTGTGCAAAGGTAGCTCCGTTACTCCATGCATGAATTACATCCATCAAATGGGGACGAAAGGATTCAACATAGTTGTCTTCATTCAGGTCTAACTTAGCTTCTTTACTCACCCGGGCTATCCTTCGAGCTGCTTCCTTAAAAACAAACATTTTGGGACAAAAATCAAATCTATATCTGTAGGGAATTCAAATGATGTAATAACCATATTTCTAAATCATTCTGAATCCATTTGAAATAACTATTCTCAGCATCTAGTAATTGTTCATATTCACCATATAAACAAAGAATGAAAAAACTGGCACTAATATCACAGATTTCATGATGCTAGAGTTAAAAAGCAAAATTACCAGCTTTTTCTATTTTTTCTGTTCTATGAATGAGTAAACTATATTTTAAACTTTTTTTTTCAGGATACCAAATCTAAGAAATTTAATGCCTTCGATAATAATGGAAAAGCTTTTTCTTCCAGACCATAACCTCAAAACTAACAGTTGATTGAAGTCCCAATGAAGGTTTGTGGGCCAATATAATAACCAAAGATTTTTATTTTAATCACTTCTTTATATTCTAAAATTTTGTCAAAATATAGTTGTATTTATTGTTGTTCATTTTATTTAACAGGAAACTAGTTTTCTATCCATCAAATTTTTAAATTCAGGAGACCTAATCAAATACTTTACATGCTAGCATCTCAGAATTATATTGTAATTAAATATCCAATGCAACTGGATATTTATCAGAAGTCTTTGTTTCTAATGTCTAATTTATAGTCTGATAACATATTTTCAATCTGAAGTCTTTATTGTAAGATTTCCCATTTTGCATGCTGTTAATGTTAAGTAAACATTGAAATGATTTCCATCATTCAATTTGAGATATTCTTTGATTTGAAACACTAGGTGGCGTACTATACAAGCAATACAGTTTTGGGATCTAATCTTAACTAGAAAAACACTTTTAAAATTTGTATAAATTATGATTTTAAAATTATCAAATATATTTTTCTTTATTTTAAATCTTAACGATATTACTATTGATAAAGGTAGATTACATACAACAAACACTTGTGCTTGGTGGGTTTTCATATAAATTTCATTGTAATTTTGCGTATTAAGTTATCAGCAAAACTGGCAAAAAAGAAAAATTCTACCTAAGGCAAAGGGCTAACTTAGACACCATTGCTATATGATCTAGTTGGTTATAAGTATAATGATTTTGTATCAGAACTGGTATTTTATTAGAGTACAAAGGAAATTTAGACTTTTGATATTTTTTGAGAAGTCAAAACTATAATACTGGTCGCAGTACATGGATCCATGAATGCTTAGTCCTGCATTGATGTTCTGAACAATTCTTTGTGTCCTACAATGTGGCAATTTTATGGTACTGGGCCTTACATCTTCCAACATGATAGCACTCCAAGTCACAAAGCAAGAATTGTGAATACATGGTTTGAAGAAAATAACCTCTGAACATTGCAGTGGCCAGCACAAAGCACCGACCTCAACCCAATAGAACATCTTTGGGATGAACTGAAATGTAGAATTAAAGCAAGGCCAAGACAGCCATCTTCAGCAGTGGATTTGACTAATGCTTTAAAGGAGGAGTGGAGCACAGTACCGCCAGCTTTCTACCAGATATTAGCAGAAGTATCCCACAACACAGTGAAGCACTCATTAAGGCCAAAGGTGGGCCAACACGCTATTAATTTCTTGGAATAAAGACATGTTTTATTCATAATTACCAGTGTCCCATGACTTTTAGTAGGATAATGTGTATACATATAACCATTTAGAAGATAATGTAACCAACAACTCTACACAAGGACATTAAGAAAACATTTTAATTAACAACTTTGTGTAACAGCAACTAGTACGCACTATCATATACGAGCTCCACATACCTGCATTTGTCTAAGAGGGCCAGACAGCTCTTCTGTCAGCCTGGGCATTTCACTGGATTTTTCTTGAAACACAAAGCAGGATAAGAGTGCTGTAGCTTGATAGACATTCAAATCATTGAAGACTCCATTAAAAACCATTTCTGTTATCAGTAACTCATCCGCACTAAAAACATATCCAAAATTAAAAATATTGTAAAGAATATATTTCAAACAACTGTGCTTATGCAAAATATGAAGTTCACAAACTTCCTAAAAATCCACTTTTATTACTAGTAGAAAGTTAACAATGGAAGTATATAGCATCTAGACTATTAAACTCCATCAAGGTATATCTTTTACATAAATCAGTAGCATCAGAATTGCAAAAATATATTAAAATTAAAGATTATTTTTGTTATATGTCACACAACCAAAAACCATTAGGTCAACAATTGATGTCAATTCTGTAAACACTGTTTCGTCAGCACAATAAAAGCAAGAATTGGATTTCTTTATACAACACAGCTTAAAAAATAAAACTTAGAAGAAGCAATTACTTCTGACATTAATCTACAGGTCTGAATATTAAAATCTGGTATTCTATATTACTTAGTTTGAGAATTGATGCATTTATGAAGACTAAAAATGGAAGTATTAATTTCCAAAAATCTTCCTACTACACTCACCTACTAATTTCACAAGCAACTCGTCCCTTCACTTCAATTACATCTGTAGCTGTACAATACCCAAGTCGTCGTAAAACACGCTTTCGACATTTAAGTTCATCCATCTGAAGCAAAGACTTGGCTTTCTTCAATTCAGCTTTAACACCCTTCATTTCTTGAACGAGCTGAAATACGAAAACTATACGTTAACCAACTTTAAATGATTTTATACTCTGTTGATTACATACTTTTTAAAAAAACTTACGTTAAAAAGGGGAAGCTTGTATGTGAAAAATGCAACAAGAACATGTTAATATGTTTATATACCAAAAAGGAATCAAATTATAGGCTTTAATTTTTCAACATTCTGTAATCTACCCTACTTAGAACACTATTAAAAAATAAAATTAGAACAAAATTAAAAAACTCAACCTCAAACTGCTGGAAATTTACTATTTGTGCACGTGTGTGTGTATGTATGTGGTTGGATTGGGGGGGGGGGAGTAATACACTAACGTTTTTCTTATCACATAAAGAACAAACACTTTATAAAGAAAAAGTAACAATGTACTGCATATTTATATCAGTACTCACAGCCATCTTTTTATCAAACATTTTATACAGGTCTTCTATCTCTCTATCGCCATACAAAGAATGGTTGTAAAGTCTATGTTCAAAAGCTTCAATTTTCTGGATAAAATAAAAAAGGATATAAACATAAGTATACTTTTGGTACATAAAAAACTTGGAACATTTTACTCAACTGTTTAAATTACTGGTAACATGCAACATCAGACTACATCTACAATGAACATTTTTTATGTACAGTCCCAAAACTATAAGCACAAAACCACTGTCAGTAATAAAGTAAACAAATATTAGCCCTATGTGTATTGGTAGAGGTCAAAGTGCACATATCACATTTCTTAAATTTGAATAGAAAATATTTAAATAAATTCTCATTCTTCACTTCTTTGTATCATGTGGTATTTCACTCCAAACTGCACTCATTCTTCACTTCTTTGTATCATGTGGTATTTCACTCCAATCTGCACTCATTCTTCACTTCTTTGTATCATGTGGTATTTCACTCCAAACTGCACTCATTCTTCACTTCTTTGTATCATGTGGTATTTCACTCCAAACTGCACATTTTAGATTTTCATTCTACCTCTACATGATCTTTTATGTTTCCCAAAAATTCCAAGTTAAAATGTAAATTTCTAGCCTCCAAGGTTCTTGCTTTACCAAGATATAAATAAATAACACACTCCTCCTATCTCATCCTGTTTTTCAAACAATGTCAATAATTCTTTCAGAGATTTTTCTATTTGATTATTTACATCCATAAAAAGAGAGTATTCTACTTATTAATTTTTCTACAAGGCTAGAATATTCAGCCAAAAGATTTTGAAAATTTTGACCCCAGTTTCTTTGTCATTGTTTAAATTCAGTTTGACCAGATAATGGATTTATAGCTTAATTAGAAAGACAGTTAAATAATAGTAATTTTAGAACATCCTATGTTTTGTGCTTGACAATATTTTGTATTTTAAATTGCATATTTGAATTTTTCAAAAATCATTTGTAAGACAACACTACCATTATAAAAAAAGAAATGGGCCTTGGGTACTTCATTGTTAAAAATATAAAACTTGAAAACGAAAAGATTCTGTACATAAGAACTAAATTTCTTGTTTTTATGAATATTATTTATTTATTGTTATAAAAGTACTTGACATGTAAATATTACAAACTCATTAGGTTAAATAAGAAAACTTAAAATGAAAAAAATTCTCCACAAGCTGCTCATTTGTGATGTAATTCAATACTTTACCATAACTTACACTAAGCTCTAGCTAGGTGATTTACTGATTTGTTATGCTAGTTTAGTAGTTAGACACAGCTCAAGTAGTAAGAAAACGATAAAATTAAGTGCAATAATTTGTATAAAGGTTGGAGGCCTGAAGCTGTTAGGATAAATAACTGTAATTGTCTGTTACGATCCACGTTCATTCTACAAAAAAAATTACTTTTGATTTTACTTCATAAGTTTCAACTTTCATTACACAAGATTTCAGTACAGTGTTAAAAGTAAATAAGGTAAGAAAATATCAAGTTTTACACACACACACACTAAAAAAGCTTTTGATACTCATTTAGGAAGTTCTAAAGGTAAATATATTTTAATAAAAATTCAGATTTTTTCTTTCTGTATAGAATACTTGTGTTGTTTACTAAAAGCTTTCTATACTTCATATATTCTAAGTTATAGTAAGTATTAATTTTCCAGGAATGGTTCAGTTCAATATACCAACCCTATCCACATGGATTAATCCTGTGTCTTTCTTATCACAGCCTTGTTCTCTAGCAGAATGTAAAATGTGTGAGACACTTGTATACAACATGGACTAATACGACATCCCAGTATAAATAGTTTTCAGATTCTTGTGACTAACAAGAACAACTATAAATTAGTGTACTATACCTAGAAAAATGTAAAAGGCTTAAGAGTAATAATAACCATCAAGATATATTAGCATAATCAAGACAGTTAATGACTTATGGATATTCAAAATGGGTAAACACAATGCTCTTTAACTCTTTCAGTACGAGCTCAGTCCCTTGGACTGACCTCATAACCAATTTGTGCTTGTTAGTTTTCAGGCTAAAAC